ACTATCAAGCTACTATCAAGCTACTATCAAGCTACTATCAAGCTACTATCAAGCTACTATCAAGCTACTATCAAGCTACTATCAAGCTTTAGTGTTTTAAAATTTTAAAAAAGATGATAATATATGGACTTAATTAGGCATATTTATAGTATAGCGTGTAACATTAATTTTTGATTTTCAAATTTTACTTATAAAACAACATTTAATATTCTAATAAAAAAACATTGTTTATATAGAGATGTGATATACTGTATAAATGCATCGCATGTTTCAATGTATACGTTTATCCATATTGGACTATAAAAAATCTAGTAGATATTTATATAATTTACAATTTACAAATCTATCACAAGATTCAAATTTCCTAATAATCCTAATAAGAAATAAGATGGAATAAATATATAATATTAAAAAGAATAAAGAATTTATAAACATTGCATTCAAAAACTCGAAGATTCTGATAACTAAAATAAAAGTAATTAATTTTTATAAAATTTTGATATATTATATCACAAGATTTACCTGGTACTTATAGCCACTCATATTTTAATTAATTCTACAAATCTTATTTACCTTATTGCTTTTATTTTTAGCATTCACTAAAAACAGTGAATTAAATATTAAAAATTCATAGAAAAATCAAAAATGATTTATTTCAATCGGTAATTATGATGTTACAAAAACTCTGATTGTGTCAGGACTGATTTCATAATTTAAATTTGAGCGCCATCTGCAGACCAAACTAGTCACAGCATATATCATTTGTACTGTTATTCGTCGACATATATAGAATTTCAAAGTCCGGTAATAAAAATGATAAGACATTGCAATGTTGCTCAATGATTCCACTAAATGCAGAAATAGTTATATACTTTAATTTTTTATACCTTAAAGAAGTTAGCCGAAAATTTCTAAAATCTAGTCTATCCAACTGCAGAGGCATTAAGTATTCTTTTTGGGACTCTAAAGCCTCAATATATTGTTCAGCAATAACGTAACGACATTTCAAAATGAAATTATTTAATAATTTTTGCAAATTAATGAGTTTAATTAAAAGCACAGTAATAATTTCCTCAATATCGGTTTCAGCAAAGTCAAAAGTAACTCCACAAAGACTTAAACTTAAATTAGATAATGTTTTTAGAAATTGAAAAAAGTTTTTATTTTTGTATGGCGTTATTAGGTGAGAGATGGAAAGATTACAAACTTGATATACCCGGTGACTTGTGACTTGAGAAAAAATGGAAAGCATTTAAGATTTTACATTTGTACGCATAAGATAACAGAAACGACAGCCTGAACTATACGCAATTCACCACATTGGCAAAAATAACCAGCACCAGCAAGCCATTTTAAACATGTAAATCAGGGTTTCTAAGCAGGGAGCGTACTTTGGTGAATGTGATTTGATAAAATGAAATTAATTCTTAGAGGGATTAGAATACTTTGCTCCTCTATATCTAGTTCATTTAAATAAATAAGGATTATTGAATTCCTCTATTTCGAATTGTTGACAGAAGGGTTTCTTCATAACATATACACGGCGATTCCATGTAAAAATTTGTTGGTAAATAAACAACTATAAAAATCTTTTATATTGTTTAAATCGTTAAAAATTTTTAGAATGCACTCATTTGACAAGTCGAAGAATCATTTATATTTAATATGGTTCATACATCTTATGTCTGAGCTAAAGAAAAAAAAAAGTTCATAAGTAATTTTCATGTATTGAAATTATGTGTTTACGTTAACAAACATCCATACGGAGAGAGATAAAAAAAAGCTCTTTCGTTGGCTAATATTCTCAACAGCCTTATTGCCATTATTCATATTATTGACATTGAAATCTTCATCATTCAATGTGAGTTTTTATTTGTAATGTTTTTGACAAATTCTACGGATGTACTATTTAGTAATCTATTTAAAGTTATTTTAATATCACATAATTTTGGATCTTGCAAATTTATCATAAATCTCAAAATATTCAGGAGTAATAAGGATTTTTTTTTCTCCTTCACCTTAAGAAATTCTAGCAGTCACATCTGATTCAGAACAATCATAAAAAAGAAAATTTTCCTTGTAACTCCTAGAGAATTACCAAGGTTATATACATCTGATCTTTTGTCGAGAAAATAGATTTTTGGAGAAAAATTGGAGGTAGGTATAAGTTGTCCTGACTTTCAGCTCAAGCATAGAAGTATATTGATGATGATGAACCAAAATTATATTCATTGTTTCATTTTCATTTATTAAAATGTTTTAGAATGCAAAAGTAAAAAAAATTTATAGATATTTAATATGCAATTAATTTAAGGGTATTTTTGTGTCTTTAAATTTTCTATTTAATTTAATGCTGACTGAACTCTCTTTTGAACTATATATAAAAAATAGTTATTTTCTTAAATTTTGTGAGAATAAAATGTCGAACGCAAATTGAAGATATATATCGTGATTAGTTCCTTAATACAAACCTCAATTTTTGCTAAGTAAATCGAACTTTATTCACTAAGTAATTTTGTTAGAAATACCAATTACAGTACTTAAAATTTTTTATTAGTAAGTTTTTCATTATACATTTGTGCGCTGCAGATTAATCTTCCGCGTCAAAAGTTATAATAAAAAAGTCTACTAAAGCAATATTACTGTAGTAAATGAGGTTTGATTCATTTAGTAAAAAGTTCTGTTTTCTTGTAGTAGTTTCAATTTGCCATTTTGTCCCATTCTTCATAATACCCACATTTACCTTGATATAGGTAATTAAATTTATGTATCATGTATCATCTAACCATGCTTTCGATTTTGTTAACGCTGATGCTTTTACGATTCTTCGAAAGAATCATATGTAAATTACTGTTTTCTTAAGAACCCATGGTACTTTCTTTTTTGAAGGGTTATGAAATTTAAAATTTTGTGTTCGTTATATCTAGAGTCAAATGTATAATGATATATAATGATATACAAGATTACATGAAAATTATTTTTTCAAAATAACAATATTATCAAGAAAATAAAGCTGTAATAGCAGTTTGGACGCGACAACAAACGGTTTTATAACAATTGTAAAACGTAAACAGTCTAAATAAAACTTGGCACAACACTTTTTATTGCTTTTTAAAAAATTGCTAGATAATAAATCCATATTTTTATTATTTAAATCCGCAGTAAATCAAATAATTTACTGTGAGAGTCTGTATTTGCTAAATTATATAGGTCTGTAAATTAATTTCAAAATGAACTTGTTTATGAATTAATTGTTTATCAAATGAAATGTCTGTGAATAAGCCTATCTTGGAGCACTAATAAAAAATGTCAGAACATTTTCATCTTTAATGTCTTACCTAATCTTTAAATCAGCTCAAATTTTATACGTTTTATTTTAGACATCTTTGTATAAGCAATTGAAAAATGGACAGTAATATTGATTATTCATATTTTTGAACTGTTCTAGCATTCAAATTTCAGGATCAGGTATATCCTTATTTCACGAGCAATTAATTTATAGATTTATTAAAGTATAAGGATTCTTTTAAAATTCGATAATATTTTATGAGTTTAATAATTAATTAATCAACATAGAATTATGTAAATAACTACGTATTACGTATATGATAAACCTAAGATTTTTTACATATAAAGCACTGAAGGCTTGAATAATTAATTACATTAATTAGAAAAACGGCGACGTTTTGTGGGCTGAAGCTCTAATTATTAGGTATTACATTTTAGAATTAAAGATATATAGTATTTAAATTTCACAAATTGCTATATAGATTTTATCTATAATAAATTTATAAAGAAAGCAATTTTTTTGTTTTGCCATTATTCCTTGTTGTAAACGTACATTTGTTATACTGTACGTACATCACTTTGAAATTCCAGTTAATCTCGAATTGACATAAGTCACTTTGGAATTATAATTTGATGTATGTTAAATAATGATCGGTATGTCGTCAATGATTATAATACCGAATAAAAAAAATACAGTACAAAAAAAAAAAAAAAAAACGTAAATATCTATGGATAAATTCATATTATCGTTATCGTGCTTTTCAAATTACTGTGATCATCAAATTTCATGTGTTACACTAGTGCCAATCCATTATCTATTTATCCATTTATCCATTAGCGTTAGATACGTACTCGTAATTCGTTATCCAAATTAGTGATCCGAATCATTCAGTTGAAAATCAACTATGTATATAGATAGTTGATCACATATATAAAAAATCGATTAGTTGCAACTATAGTTGGCAACTAATAGATTGGCAAAATTTTTACCAACTAGGAACACTAATCCGAAGTATCCTATTCAAATTTATATGTCGGATTATCCGATCTGTTTATCTGATCTAGGGATGGCACGTCACAATGTCCAATTGGTTTCAATTTTTTTGGCCATATGTCAAATTACAATTGGACATATGTCCATAAAAAGCTGAAACTAATTGGACATTGTAACGTGCCATCCCTGGGCTAAATGTTAGATTCGATTGTCCGGGCAAGTTGCCGGGTATTTGTTGTAAATCATTTTCGGTATGTCCCTTTCGGTAAATTGATTTTCATAATTCGGATGTTATCTTTTTATTCCTTGTGACGGTGATCGTATATCAATTTGTAGTGTTTCTGGTTAGTGCATTTCGTATAAATAATAATTCTGTATTAAGTTTTCTATTGAATCGTTTAGGCGATTCGAATCTTCATATGGTCGGATTTTAATTATTCCTCGTTGCTTGATTCGTCCGTCTTCTTGTTCTTCGGTTCGTACTATATGATAGTTAAATATTTGGCTTTGGATATATATGTACACATCAGGTTGGTTTATCCTGTAAATATGGGGTCGTATCCCTAATATATTCATAATTCGATTTCTTATTCTTTTAGGGAATATATGTAAGTGTTTTCCTTTTTGCGCTGTTTTAATTTTCTTTTTCATTTCGGCTATGTGCCTACTCTGTTCTTGGTTCTTTTTTAATGCTCATTCATGCCACAATAATGCTTTCTTTAATTGGTACGTTTTCAAAGTGTCTAAGCTTTGTTCTAATTGTTGCATTTCTTGATTGGTGTACGGTTCTAATGTTTCTGTGTCAGGTTCTTCTTCTGAGTCGTAGTCAATTCGTGGTTTATTTAGTTGTTGTTCTCTAATAGCTTGGTATGCTGTTATTCCGTAGAATATTCTTTCTAAACTTTTTCTGACTTCAGGTACTAGTATCAATTCGGATGTTTGTTTTTGGGTATATCATGCTCAATGGTAATAAGTTTTAGTTCGTTGGGTTATTCTTGGTTCTTCAGTTACTTTGAGTGGGTGAATGAATGTATGTACAAATGTATACTGCGGGTTTATGTTTCCAAATTCTAGTGAATATTGGTGTGATGGTGGGTATTTTATTACTGATATTTCTAGCAGGTTCTGTTGTTGAATTTGTATTCCTAATTCAATAAAGAATTCATTTACTGCAGTATCTTCTGGTTGTTTGCTGAAAGATTGTCTTGTTAATCCATCAAAATGTAAATAGTGTGTTCGTTGGGAATCTACTTGTTGTCCAAGTAGTATCTTGGGTTGATCAATATTTATAAATAAAATGATAATAACTAGTTGTTAGGATTCCATTTTAATCATTTAATCCTAACATATATCCAAATTTTTAGATTTGTTTGTGTCGTAATTGTTGAATACTAAGATAGTTTGTAATTCTTTGAGAATTTCTTTATCTGTTTTGGTTGTTGTTATTTTCTTGTTATACCAATATTTAGTTAGTTCAAATTGTGTTTTACTGTCTATATACGATGTTAATTTTAATAATTCGATATATTGTTTGCTATGGTACAGTTTTAGTGGTTGTGACTTTAATAATTCTTGCTATATTTCTGCTTCTACTTCCAGTAGAAGTTTATTAAGTTTCTTGAATATGTTAGATGTTTTCTTTGTTATTGGTGGTTTTGGTTTAAGCAGAAAATGTTCTTGTGGTTGTATTGCAAGTTTAGGAATTTCCTCTACTGGTTCAGGGTATTGTTGTGATTTATTTTTAGTATGCATATAAAATTCTTTTGTTAAGAAATATCTTCGGTCCAAAAGTTGCTGGATGCTATGCTCTCTTTCTTCTACGTCTTTGATAGCTTCTTCGGTTAATAATAATGTTTAAATACTAAATAGTATGTGATGAAGTGTTTCTCTAATTTGGTTTGGGATTTGATTATCATTACTTTTAAAATGTTTAATTACTCCTTATGCTGTTCCATAAAAGTATTGGTAATAATCTAATATCTGTATTATAGTTTTTTTTATCTCAGGTGTTGTTTTTCTATTAAATGCTCTTGGTACTTTTAATGGTTGAGTTATATAATCAGCTGCTTCGCTAGCTGCTTTCAGTAATACTAATACTAATTCTATTTTATGATTGTTAGTTGAACTTATTCGTTGTAACAATATATCTATTGTTGCTTAGATATCAGCTTTGATATGGATAGTTTTTTGTTAAAACGTTATTTCCTTTGCGTATTCTAATCCTTTTTCATAATATTTGTCATCAGGGTATTCTGTTGGTTCTTCGGTAAAATTCCAAAAATAGCAAAAGTTTCTCTGATAGTATGTTAACAATTTTTCTGTTTGCTGATTATTCATTTGTGAATATATAATATTGATATTCTATAATTTTTCGTGTATATCTTTGGTAAAGGTCTTCTAATAGTTTTATATATAAGTTAAGTGTAAAGTTTGATGTGTGTTGTTCATATTTTTCTATGAATTGTAGTTGGCAATATACTATATTTGCTTGTTCAGTTATTCTCAAGTAATTATGATACTTGTAAGCTTCTTGTAGATTAAATTTAGAGATTCTTGATATTTCGTTTCTTATTTCTGCTTAGAGAGTTTGTTCAAGAATATTATACCTTGCTATAATTTCTTTAGTGGATACTGGTTTTTGGGTTTCACTAATATTTCGATACAGATTGTATTCTGCTTGTAAATATGCAGAGTAATATTCCATTAATAACACCAGTTGTTATCAAGTTCTTCACTTGTTATAAGTTTTACTTTTTGTTTACTTATTTTTAGTATGAGGCCTGTTATATCATACAGGGTTTGCTTTAATATTTCTAGGTAGAATTTTAAGGCTTGTGTTGCTTTTAATCTACTATCTTCGTATCGTGTTATCCAGATTTTGATTTTATGTTTTCTTCATATCAAATCTATTGTGTATACATATTTAAATAGATTCTCAATTTCTAATTCTTTGTTTCGATTTGTTTTGATCCTTTCTTTTTGTTCTTCAATTAAAGAATCAATTACGTTATCTTGTAAATATTTAAGTTGTCTGAGTACTTCTTCAGTAGTACAGTTTTCTTTTGTTTTATACAGTTTGTATTCTTCTTTTAAATATTTAATTTGAATTTCCTCCATCCATTAGGTAGATAATAATTAATGGTTATTTGGTGCTTGATACTGCTTGTATTGCTTGTATTGTTACTCTTAGTCTTGTAGTTACTTCTTCTTTATTCTGTGCGTCGAGTTCTATAACAAAAAAAAATGTATTTACAGTTTGGTCAAGTTGTGGTTGTGTTGGGTAAAGTTATATTCGCGATTGAAGTATTTCTTGTTTGTATGCAGCTATAAGGCTTGTTAATTGTTCACTTTTAAATATATTCTGTCGTAATGTTAATGGTACTTGTTGAGGTAATACTCTAAGGTTACTCCAATTAATAAGGTCTTCTAATAATTGTTCAAATTTGACTTTAATGATCCAAATGAATGTAAAGTAGTCTGCTATAGCTTCAATTGTACTATCATTCATTCAATCTGATCTTTGGTATCTATCGTTCAATATTTGCGCAAGACTATACGTTGCATTGATAGTTTGTTCAGTCAAATAATTAATCTTACTAGTAAGGTTTCTTATATCTCGATTTATGTGAGATGAGATTTGAAGATTGGTTATCTTTTGTTTATATAATTCCTTAAGATTATTTATTTTGCTTCGAGTAGGGTATAAGTATATGTCTAAAAATAATGCTTCTGTGAATTGAAGTAGCTCTCTTATTTTCTGTTGTTCACTACTTGTAGTATGGTTTAATTCTTGAAAAAGGTCATCTGTTAAATCGTTTGTTCTTATAAGTCTTGAATTTCTTACTCTAAAGTTCATTTGTATCTTGATAAGTTCATCAAGGTAAATTCAATGTCTTTTTATACTTATTCGGGTATATAATAATTAGTTAATTAATTGTTCTAATACATTCTAGTTAGATTTCGGCATCTAAATTTTTAATGAATTCCTTATATGCTTCTTGGAATTTTTTAGTCATTGGTACAGTTACTATTTCCTTAAATAGTTCATTTTGAATTCTAAGTTGTTTCATTCACAGTTTTTTCATATGGCTCAATCAGGTTAAGTGTTGTTCTTTCTGCAGGTCATCAAGTTTCCTTTTTAGAATTCTGTTTTCTTGTTCAAGATTTTTAATACATTGATTATGCTTATTTACTGTGTTGATTAACTGATTTACAGTTTCTTGTAAGGTAACTAGCTTCTGATCTTTAGGATCATTAAGAATATCTATTCTATCCTTATCAGATATTCTGGTTTTTAATATTTTCCTAATATATCTAGCATGGTTTTCAATTACTTCCTTATAATCTTCTAGGGCACTTACTATTATTGTTTTATTATTTTCTCTTATTTTTAGATTATTGAGAATATAGTCTATCATATCGATAGATCCTTCAGAATTGGCTTCAGATATGTTATCTTGTTCAGGTAAGCTTTCATTATCACTTATTTCAATAATTTTAGAGTTTACTTCTTTAGGTTTTTCTGAGTAATATCCTATGGTTTTAGTTTTTCCTCTTTTAGTTAGTATGGGTCTATGCAGGTCAGGGTCATAACATTGTGGGCAAAAGCCATACTTTAGATCTTCATTTGAAGTTGGCTTTTAACAATCGTTACAGTAGTTACAGTTCCTACATATTTGGTTGATTATCTCTGTATCATCTCCTGGTAAGAGACAACTTTTACAAATTGCTTCAAGTAGTTCTGGATATATTTTAATATACTTATTCGTTAATGCTACTTGTTGGAAGTTTTCTTTATTATATTCTGGAGGTTTAATTTCTTCGAGGGTTTGTGACTGGATTACATCTTCAGGAGTTATTTGATGTTCCGGTAAGAGGTCTTCTGGATTAAAGCCTCTTACTGGTGGATATGATTCATATACAGTTGATTCGTTAAGATCAGTCAGATCTTCATATGAATCATTCCAAGTATCGTTAGTATGTGATGCTACAATATAAGCATTCATATAGTGTTTATAATAAATTAGCTTATTAATATGGTCTAATTCAAGTGACTCAAAATAAGCTCAGACTAATCTTTCTATTAAGGATTTATTAATGAAGAATCCGGAGTATCTTGGTGCTCTTCGGGTGCGATATCTAATTCGGTCTAATAAGTTGTAGTCATGATTTGTGCTTACATCACAATATGCTATTAGTTCATTATCAATACAAAAGAAGTGTTCTGTTTGCAGTAAATGGAATGCTTTCGTGATTATAATTGGCTTATAACAAAAGTAGCAAGTGGTTAGTTTTCCTTGCTTATCAAAGAATTCGGTTGCTTCTTTGTAGTTATAGTTAATAGAGAATTGTAGTTTATAATATCCTTGGTGACAATTCTTACAGACTAAAACATTATCAAAATGTTCTAAATTGGTCTTATGCAGTAAGTAAAATGATACATTCCTTAAGAGGTGCAATTTGGTGTAGTTACAAATTTTATGGCACTTGCAATAATGGTAGGTATTTCATTTACTTTGCTTCCTTTTAGAAGTTTCAAAGTCTTTTTGGATTGCTAATTAAACTTCGATTTGGTCACACTTACACTTTCTAGCTTGTTGTTCTTTTAATAATTTAATTTCAGTACATTCTTCTTTTCTTACATGTTCAGTAGATCTACAGTGTGTGCAGTAGTCTAATTCAATTACTTCAGTACAGTGCTTAGCGATGTGTCCTTTCTTTTTGCAGGTTCTGCAAACAAGGGTAGGGCAATTATTGTTGAAATGACCTTGGTTTCTACAATTACTACATATAATATTATATGGGCATTTAGTGCTATTACTATAATGACCAGGCTTATCGCAGTCTGTGCAATACACATGGTGCATAAGCTTTGTTACAAGTGTTCTACTATCAGTAAACCTTTTATTTCAATTAGAGTTATAAGGGTAGTTCTTATAGTCATGGCCTTTTTCTTTCTTGTAACTACAGTAATTGCAATAGTTTTTAGGGATTCTCGATTCAGGGCTTCGTTCTCTATCATTGAACCAATCAAATTCCTTATTCAGGTTAATTCTACAATCATGGGTAGGTGATAACTTATATTCGTCACAGTTTTGGCAATAATTAGGACCTTTTTGGTTCCAGGCATCATTGCTTGTGGAGGATCCTTATTGAGAGTTCATTTTCAAAAGTTATTCGGTTTTTACTGTTTTTAGTTATTAATTGTTTGTATAGATATTGTCTTAAGATGGTCAATTACGTTTGTTTAAATAAGTTTTGCGTGTAGTAGCTGGTAGAACATTCGAGTATGCTTTAGCTATTTTGAGATTAATTCTACTTATTGATCTCATTCTGTTTTATCCCTTAATTGTTTTATTAATCCGATTGCAAATCAGACATGCTATCTGTTATCTGATTGTTATTGCTGATCGATACTCTTTCAGTTACGCGTAAACTATCTAAAAATGCATTAAAGAGGTTATCCTTATTTTGGCATCTCCATATAAATTCCAGTAAACATTCAGGTAAAAACTTGTAATTTCGGTGCTTTATCTGTATTTGACTTTTTAAAACTCGCCATGTTGCCTCTATATGGTTGGTGTGATATACAATTATATTTTTGGTTCTTGGATTTATATCTCAGACTGCCATTCCCAGACTATGATTGACAGCGTGGTGTTCTATTCCTAACATATCATAAATATTCTGATATGTGGACCACATATCAGAGTAGATAAGCGATTCTGGGTATATATAGTTAGCAATCTTTTCTAATAATATTTTTGCAGATCTATTTTCTATGATCATAGCAAATATATACTTTTCAGGAGTTCACTCCACACCTCCGAAGACCCATATGTCTCGGTGTGTTTCGATTATTTCTCCAGTTTCAGGATTCTGTTCCTTTCGTCGTTTTACTTCAAATCGAGATTCATCTATTTCTATAATGATATCTTTTCCTCCGATTAGTTCTTCATTTTCTTGTAAATTTAGGCTTACTAATTCTCGGTAGATATTCATCCATCTTGTAACTATTTGGAGATTCAATTCTGTAAATGGTAGTATAGTCTCATGCTTTGCCTTAGTTAACCATAAATAGCCTATTTCAAATGCTTGATTTACGGGTATCTGAGATCCCACAAATATGGTGTTGCTAAAGATAGATATGGTCTTTCTACATTCCTTCTGATTGGTACAGATGAATAAATTTGTTCTATTCTCAAAGCGTGTTTTATTCTGACAATTCAGACATGTTGCTTGTTTTGGCAATATCTCCTTTCCTTGTAAATACACGATCGTATCTTGTTCTCTTTTTAAATATTCATACAATTCTTTGTATGATGGTATTCTATGAGTCATTTTTCTTTTCTTTGGTTGGGCGTTTTCTTGTAAAAGCATATAGTTAAGTTTTAGCTTCTCACTGGTCTCTGGTTGCTTTGGTTTTTCTATCAATTCGAGGTTATAAAAAGAGTCAGTTTTCTTCAGGTGTTTATATACTTAATTACTCATGTATCTTGTCTATCCAGTTATCTGAATATCATTGCTGGTTTTCACGTAGGCCAGATTAGAGTAGTTAGATACTTCTAGCTACTCAGATCGGCATGCATGGTAGTTGAGCTATTGTTTCTTAGGTTCTATTGTTAATACATTACCATTTTTCATAGTGACTTGCTCGCTTTTTATTAGTTGTCCTGTTGCATATAATATGTAATCTGCTATCTTATTCTTAGATCCAGATATACGTTCTAACTCGTAATTAAATTCTTGTAATTCTAATAAGGCCACTCCAAATTGATTCTTCGTTTAACATAATATTAAATAGTTTATAAGAGTGGGGAGAGGGCATGAAAAATACACAAATTAAAAAAAATAGCAATTTTATTGGTTGATTTAACATATGTTAGTTATATAAAATTTAAAAAATTGAGAAGGGGTAAATACTATTAATTACTATTAATGAGTATTGGGTTCATATAAAATTTAAAAATAGAGGGGAGGGGGTTATGTTAAATGAAGAATTAAATTGGTCTGGCCTAACCATCGTTCAATAGTTAAGTTCTTGCAACCTTTTGTTATTGTTGTTATTCCAGTATTGTCTGTTCGTATTTTTACGTGTCTACTTCCTTTGTATGGTCTAAATGATTTGAGTGCTTCATATATTGCATACATTTCTTTTTGTGTATTTCTCCATTTTTGTTGGGTTGAAGTTAATGCCTTCGAAAAGAATTCTATGACTTCTTCTTCACTTCATATCCAATGATCTGTTTTACTAGTATATTGTTCTTTTTGAATTGTCTTGTAATGTTTGAGGTCTGGATTAACTTGTTTTAATACTGCTCCAATACTGTTATCAGATGCATCAGTTTCTATAATTAATTGGTATTCAGGTTTAGGATATGTTAACCAATGTGCTTCAAGTATCTTCTGTTTGATAAGGTCAAATGCATTCTGATATTTTTGTGTTCATTTGAATAGTGTAGTCTTTTTTAATAGGTTATTTATTGGTTCTGCTATGGTTAAGAAGTTTTCTACGAATCTTCTAAAGTAGTTAGTCATTCCATTAAATGATCTAACTTCTTTAACATCTTTTGGTGGTTGAAGTTTTTTAACTTCTTCTAGCTTTTTAGCATTCAGATATATCTTTCCATATTCAATTTGATAGTTCAAAATAGTCATTTTTGTTACTCTGAATTCACATTTTTTTTAGATTCATTATCATGCCCCCTCTTTTATATGCTCGAACACCGCTTTGAGTCTTTCTACCATTTCTTCTACTATATTTGCTAAAATTGTACAATCATCCATATATACTGCAATATATAGCATGTCTTTAAACAATTCAAACATATATCTCATCATGTATACTGGTGTTGTTTTTAATCTTATAGGCATTACTGTAAATCTATATTTTCCTATTCCAAAAAAAAAACAAGTTGTTTTATCTCTTTCATGTTCTTCTAATGGGAATTGAAAGTATGCAGCTTTAAAATCTATAGTGCTATAATACTTATATGCTGCTACTTTATGCAAAAAGGTGGGTATGTACAGTATTTCGAAGCTATTGTCTTCAAGATGTTTATTAAGTCCTCTATAATCTACTACACATCTTTTTGATCCATCTGGTTTTGGTAATATCATTATGGGTGATATCCATGCTGCTGATGAAGGTTCAAGGTATCTGTTATCAAATAATTCCTTGAACATAGCATTCGACTTTTCTTTTTCCTCTTGAGATATAGATCTAGACATATGTTGTTGATCTTTTTTAGATATGCCTTCCAATATTGATTTTTCTTTTAGCTTTAATTGTATTAGCATATTAAAGCGTTCAGAATTAAATGTTGTTGCTTTTTCTTCTTTTAATCGAAAAATGTCTTTGTAGTATTTTTTAAATACTGGTTTTAGTAAATTTCTATATTCTGGGTTTGTTTTTTCGAGTAAAAGTTTGAATCTTTCTTCTGGTTTCATTTTTTCATTATCATCATCTTCTGGATTTATTATTTTTACAAATCTATGTACTTCTTTAATGTTCTTTAGATTTGCTATATGGTACCCTTTTGGTATTTCATATTTATTATATGTCCAATTAATTATCTGTATTGTTTTAACAGTTTCATCTATATATCTATTTTGGATTATAGTTCTATTTTGGGCTAAATGAAATGATGTTATTACATATCTTATATTTGGTACAATTGGTACTGCTATAAATGTATATGGTTTTAATATTATTTTCTTTTTTATATATATAGGTACTTCTGTGCCCATAGTTGGCAGTATCATTCTTCTTATTTCATTAGATATATGATCTAACTCTTTGTGTAATTTTAAATTACATATTTTCTTTTTCTAAGGTTTCCAATATGATTGTTCTAGATTCATTATCTCATCAGTGTTATAACCATATTGGTTATCTTTTGGTTTTGCAGGCAGTGTGCCTTACTCTGTATTGGTTGTTCACTACTACTAGTTGATTTTATACTTGTTGAGCTAGAGCTAGTAGTTTCTGCTATTGATACTGCTGTACCTAGTGATAGGAGTGACATTTGTGGCTGATTTGTTAGTTCCTTTATCTGTACTTGTGGTGGTACACTAGATTATCTGCCTTCTATAGACATTTGTCTATTTCTATAAAATTCAGGGTTTGAACTTTGCTCTTGCCACGTTGTTTGTTTTGCTGCATTATCCTTCACTACTGTTTTCAGTAAAGGTTCTTTCTTTGGTAGTAGGTCATTGTAACCCCATCTAGGTACAAATGACCAATTACTTTTCTTAACAGGTTTACTAAACGGTGGTGATAAGTTTAATTCTTGTATATTATGTAAGGTCACATTACTTCTTTTTGTAGAAGGTTCTCCTGTTATAGGCAACGTTCTTGCTAGGTTGTTTTTATCTCATTGTTTAAGAACTTGTCCTATAACTTTATCTTGTTCTTCTTGAAACTTCTTATCCTCAGCTGCAGAATCTTCACTCCATGAAGATCCAGCTTCACTTGTTATACTTGCATTACTATTAGAATGCTTATGTTGTATAGGTGTCTTTCTTTTGGTTTTTATAACTTTACTCTCTTCCTGTTCTTTTTGTCATTCTGCTATCTGTAATTTTCTATGGTTTACAGATACTTCTATTGCAGCATTATCTCCCCATCTGCTATTAGCTCTTTTTCTTTCTTCTTCATTTTTACTTATATTGGCTATGGTAGTTAACTTAGCCATAACAGCTCTTCTATAAGGTTCTTTTAAGTTTATATATTGTTCTAGCCTTATATCAAGAGCATCATCTGTATTTTCGATATACTGTGTTTCTTCATTTTCTAAATCCTTATTATATGTTCTTTGTGTTTCATCAGTTTGTTGGTCATACCACTGTATGATTTCAAATAATTTTTCTTGTGCTGTCTTGTGTGACTTAGTTTCTTTAAGATTTTGTGATAGTATATCGATATTTTTCATTTTATCGATGTGTGTTTGAGCTTCTTTATCACTTATTCATTTAATTCTTTCAAAATTAGAATCAATAGTTGCTATCTGGTCTATGAGGTCTTTAAGTGTTTTAACTACTTCCTAGTTTCCTTCTTCTTCTCGCAACTTTTTTAATTTCTTCACTTTTGTTCCATACTGTCCTATTAGTTGTCCAAAGGTTTTTGGAGTTGGTGGCAGTGTATTTTTGCTTTTTTCTGCAAAAGACATAGCTTGGAACTTGTTCAGCACTTCATTTGCTTTAAACATTAGTTGTTCTACTTGTTTCTTTCTCATTCTATCGATAGATTCCTGTTTTCTAGGGTCTTGATATCTTTCTTGACCTTCTAATCGCAATCGTTGGAAATGGTCTTGTAGACTTACTATTTCTGGCAATTCATATTTATTTACTGTTTGGAAGATTTTTTCTTTTCCTAATTTTTTTATTTTTTGGAAATCTGACTTGAACAGTAAATCGTCACTTTGTAAGGTATCTTTAAGTTTAGTATATTGTCTTAGTGTATATACTTCTCGTATTTGTTCTTGTTTCTGCTCTTCGGTTTTTCCAGATGTTTCCAATATTATTGCTTTCATTTTAGAGTGTTGTGCTAGCATTTTATATATTTTTTGTGATAATTGTCTTTGCAGTAAATATGCATGGACATCCTGTCCACTGCCATATACTGTTGCCTTCTGTTTTCTTATGGATCTATCTTTCTGTTTTATTTTTCTTTTTTTCATTATATTATTTATATGTAAGAGATGTATTTCATCTCCATATCTTTCCATGACTTCTTTATAGTTATTTAAGTATCTATCACATTCTGCTACAAAATAATATTGAGTGTTGAAACATAATTTAAGACACTTTATTTTTTGCATTTGTGGTAGTTCATTTGGGCTTTTATGTATTATCACTTTAGTTAGTAATTTCTTGTCTATACTGCTCTTAATTTCTAAGAGTTCTTCTATTTTCGCTCCATAACACTTGTTAGTAGCTGAGTTTTCTAATAAAATCATGACGTCAGTATTTACAGTTTGTCTCAATATGGCTTCCAAGTTTTTCTTGATGTGATCCTTCTAGATCCCTTCTTGTATTGGTATTGTGTTTTTCGAGGCTTTTGTTTCTACATGCAATATATATACTTTGCTTTCTATTATATGTACATGCTTTATTTTTTTAATTATTCTTTTGATTTTCTAATAAATAATCCTTCTTATATAGCATCGTTAATGCTTAAGCCCATGGATACGTGTATTACTATACGCAGCTTTACTTGCAATTATAACAGCTTAACTTGTACAAGCTTGTCATTTCTATATTTGATATCTCTTCTTTTAAGGTTACCCAATTCTTCATCATTTTATTCTTGGCATATTGTTGTGTTTGTCTATATATCATGAATGTTTGCACTATATTACTTCCTGTTTGTATAATGGCTTCTTGAATTCCTTCTCAAGAATCATCACATGTGACTCCAATTAGATATTTCCTTTTTTGATTGATTTTACATTGTTTCTTAAATAAGTTGTATTGTTCCTTATTTAAATCAATTATTTCATAATTCGGTACTTTATACGGATTATAAGTATATGTTCTCCTGTTTTTAACAATTGTTTGGACTTTCCAGTTTTCTGGGGGTTTCTTCACAGGTCTTTGGCGATATTTTAAGGATTTGTATTTATAGTTTTGCTTTGAACGTTGGGCACCTTTTCCTTTTTGTTCACCTGGATTTTCAAATTCATTCGGGTTGGTAATTTCTAATGAAATTTCTGAGCTGAATACTTTATTAGATTTATCAGAATCTGACTTCTCTGCATTACTGGTATCCTCAGATTCAGATGAATTAGGTAATTCATTACTTCTAAGAATATGTCCTCCTTTTTTGGCCAGATGTGGACTTATCTTGCTACTTAGCTTGCCATCACTTAGTGCGGCTAAATAGGGCTGATCATCCATTTGCTTGTGGTTTAGCTGTCTTTAGTTCATTATGAGTAGACCCTGTAGTAATATAAATTCCTCAGGTAGTTTGACCGTTATCTCCAGTTGTCACTTAGTTTTGTTTGACATTAAAATATATTTTAAGTATGATTCTAGTACATCTATTTTGATATTTGTAAAGAAGTGCCTATTGATTTTTATGTTGACGATTGCTTTTTCAATTATAGTGATATTGTTTGATCCTACAGCTTCTGCAGTTGATTTTCTTAGGTAAAATTTGAAGTGTTGCTCATTTTTCTTTAAAAGATCTAAGTAGTTCTTTCCCATTATCGTGCAAGTTGATCCTTTATCAAGTTTGAATTCTATAGGTATGTTATATACTTTTCCATAAAAGTAAAATCCTTTTACTTCTTTAGGGTCTAATTCAGTTTCAACAGTTTTTTTGGGCCAATATAAAGTATTTGTGGCAGAGTAATCATTTATTTCGGTTAAAAGTTTGGATACTTCTTTATTAATATAATATATTTCGTTATTATATAAATTTGCATTATCTTTATTTGAAGTATTTTGATTTAACTCTGTGATACAGCCTATTAGTTGTATTGGGAGTGAGTCCTAAGTATCACGCAGGCTCCTGTTTAGAAATACTGTTCTGATAAAGTAATTTTTTCGAATTCTTCTAATTCACTATCAGAAGCAGATTCATTTTCTTCTAGATGAAATAATTCTTGATAGGAGTTGCATAATTCTAGATATTGTTTATATTCTGGGTCTTGTTCTAGATTATGGATTTCTTTGTTTCTGAATTTTTTATGGAGTTTTTCAAATAATTTGAGTTTACGGGTTCTTTTGCGAATCTCTTCTTGATATTTATTATCTTGTCCATATTCTCGCTTCTTCAGGTTAAATTGTTTTGGTGTGGATGGTTTATATCCAATATTGTTTGGATTACTAAACTTGATAGGTTCTTTTGATTCTTGGTATAATAGTTTTCTTTAGAAGTTCTTTCTAGTTCCTTTGTATTAGTGGAAATAACATAATTATGTTATTTCCACTTAATCTAGGTTATGTCTGACGACGGGATCATATGCCTGTCGTCATTCGAGTGACGAACGATTCGTGCTTGCGTCGTCAGAGATATATTAGTATTCGCTCCATCATTCAAGTGACGAACGATTCATGCTTGCGTCGTCATTTGAGTAACGAACAATTCGCGCTTGCGTCATCATTCGAGTGACGAACGATTCGCGCTTGCGTCGTCAGAGATATATTAGTATTCGCTCTATCATTCGAGTAATGAACGATTCACGCTTGCATCGTCATTCGAGTGATGACGAATTTGAGTTCACGTCGTCATTCGAGTGGTATTCCCCGATTTAGGTTATGCTCGAGTGACGATTAGTTTATGAATTCATCGTCATGTGTCTTTTTTCTAAGGCCAGCTATTTTGTGTTCTTTTTAGGAGACCGAACTCGATAGCATTTATTGTATACTAAATAGGGTCAGAGGAGGCAAAAAAAAAGGGATCGCGCAGTTGCTATCGGGACATGCTATATACATGCTATCAAATATGTATGCAACCTATGTCGTGTAATTGCTATCGAGTATGCTATTAGTACATGCTATCTGGTCATGCTATACACATGCTATCATATTTGATATCGTTTACTTTGTCCCTAGTTGGCCCTAGTAGCGAGATATATGTTTACTTACCTTGACCCATTAAGTTATATCTCATGATTGATATTCCAGAATGCGGTTAAATAGATCTGCTCGCGTCCTAATAAAAAACCCGTCCTGGTTTCGTCCTAGTAAAAAAAAAGTTGTTAGGATGGATTCGGTATAGAAGAAAGAGTTTTTTCTTTGATTTATCTTGTTCTTTTATACTTTTTATATTCTGTCCTAGTTGTCCTAGTAAAAAGTAATAATCTAGAAAAAATAAAATTTATCTACTCATAATACATTTATACTATACATAATGATATATACGGTTATATACATATAATATATACATGCTATATACATATAATATATACTATGTATACCTATAGATAAAAAAAGAAAAAAAAAGTAAGAAGATCGAAATTTTACTAGGACAACTAGGACAACTAGGAAGAGTATTCTAAAACTCTTTCGTTCGGCTTGAAATTACTGACAGATATATTTTTTTCCGTCCTACTTTACGTCCTAGAAAAAAATTCGTCCCAGTTGGAACTTCGAAAAATATAGGTATCCTGCATACCACACACACATATATTAATTTTCCTTTACCCCAGATGATGCAGAGCATCGAATCTCTGATTCCCCACCTTGTGCCATCTTCTCCAGTTTCTTCTGCTGATACCGATCCCGTCTTCGATATTTATCTGCATGAGTATCACAATAGTCATAACCAGAATAGGTCAT